AAAGTGAGAGCTAAACCTTCATCAAGAACAATAGCTCAAGATATGTAAGTGTAGACCGATATTTTTTAATGTATCTAAAAACAATACACATGGATTTACAGCTTATTTATCAGTTGCTAATCGTGTCTTAAGAAGTGAGACAATTAATTTATTTTCAAATAAATTTCCCACAGCTTGGCTCATTTTTTTAATTGTTTAATCTAATATATGAATGAGTTTGATTCAATAGTAATAATTAATATCAACTTTGTCTTAGTTGCATACCAACACACTATCAGTCACACTTCAAAACATTTTTTTTTCTTATAAGATACTCACGGTTCTTTTAAATCGAATGCCATTCAAAAGTTCACAATTTCCTTCTTTATTCTATGCCAATTTTGAATTATTTATAAAAAATGTATTGTTTATGAAATAAAAAAAATTTTGAGTAAGTTTTTTAGAGCTTTTTATGGTAAGGCTGTTGTTAAAGTTCTTATCGTTCATTTTACCTATTTTTTTAACAAATTCTTTGTTATAAACAAATATTTTCAATTATATTATGTTTTTCAAGAATAGGAGTACAACGGAAAAGTAGTGCTAATTTGTCAAACTACCAAAGAAAATTTTTTCCTTATCAATTTGCTGATTTCAATTCTTTTTATAATTATTTTACTACTTTTAATAATGATTACGAATCTATACTTATTCTTTTAACATTTCGAGCAAAAAACTTAAAATTCTGTAAATGAAATGTTTGTATTGATATGTTTTTAATACGCTTCAAATTTATATTATCCTGACAATAGGCATTCAAGAAATGAGCAAAATAAAAGAATAAACATTTGGACAAGTTTAAAACAGCCCCCTCTCCCGACCTCGCATACTTTGCGAATATTATGTCGCAGATATTTTATCAACAAATATAGAGGCATTTTACCTGACGAATAGTATCAAAAAATTTGTATTTTTTCGCACTACATGTTCAAGAATGTGTACATAGGTTTGGCTGAAATAAAAATTGTCTACTTCTCTGTGTCAACTCATACAAAAATATTCACGTACATTATCTTGTTTCTCGCATGTAACATCATCTTAAATTATTTTCAAATTGGGTTTGCACAATCAGGTTTCACGACTTCTCAAGATTTTCAGAACGGAGGGTAACCTATTCCTTCAACAGGTTTGAGCAACGTGTCTAAAAATTTATATTTTGGTTGATGTATAGATTTAGGATATAAATATATATTTCCAAATTGTAAATCATTCGAATGAAAAATAAGGGCCAAGAGTACATTTGTTTTACCACAAATCGAAGGACTACATATTATTCACCACTACTATTTAGCAATAAATTGTCGTGACGTTAAACTTTTACAGTTTGTGGCACAATATTGTCAACATTTGTCGCTGGTAATTGCAGTCACTGTTGATTATACCTCATTTCGACGACAACTGAAAAATTAGGATGTGAATTCACGACTGTTACAGATGTACTTTTTGTATCAAAAACATTATGATAGAGTACAGACATGGAGCTAGCATAGTAAATACAACAATCAATTAATTGTCATTCGAATTACATATTCACAGTTATCAGTACACTAGGTCTGGTATAGAATTACAAGAAAGATTGGCATGTAGGGATCATATATCGATATTCAAGAGTTCAAGTAACTTCGCCGCTTCAGCTGATGGAGCTGCAGGTATTGTGGATGCAGTTAATGATGCTAAAGCTGCTTATCGCCAATTGAATAAAGCAAAACATCGTAATCAGAAAATGAAAGTAATACCCTTGGGTAAAGCTCTTTCTTTTGAATCCAAGAAACAATAACATCGATATTTTAACGTATGCAAAAATCATAACAAATCAACATTTTTGTAGTGTTTTCACGATAATTGATTTACCGACCTTAAACCGTAAAAAAAATAATCGTTTATATCTCTACAGTAGTAGTATAATATACTACACAATCATAAAAATAATCAAGACTTTTTGACAATCAATTTTGGACATTTACATGTGAAATTCCTTCGGGAAAATGTACCCAAGAATGGTGAAATAAAGAATGATTCCAAACAGCTAATTCTTTCACTGTCTGAACAGCTCTCGATACTAAAAGATTATTATTTCTCACAGTTTAATTACATCTAAAATCCATAAAATGATGGAAACTATTTCTTAGTCAATCATTGGATGAAGCTGTAAAACTGAGGTACTATGCTACAATGTTATCAATCACAAAAAGTGTGCTGTTTCTTACGTCTACTGCCGTCGCTACAGAAAAACAAGTTTTAGCATTTCATAGAGGTGTGATATTTTATAAGTTCATTTCACATTACGATGTGCACGTATACCAGCCATATTCTACTCTAATATTCAACAATAATCATGGAATAGGCAGCTCAGTCCAGCATCAAGATTTGTGTTTACTTTCCAGTAGAAGTTCTGTACATATGTCTAGAAGATCATATCTTTTTAATTCTCAGATTCATCCTCTGTAATTGGAATTGATTGCTCGTGGCGAAACGGATAGTTGAAATCTGAACCTGTTGATGCTCAACAGATATTTGAATCAACAAAACAATCTTCTGCTAATACATTATAAAATCACATCATAAAATATAAGTTATTAAGTGAACGAGTACAATAACTAATTTAATAGAAGTTTACTTAAATTCTTAACCTGACATATGATGTAAGTGAATTATGCATTTAAAGAAGCCAGACGTGGACCTTGAAATAGAAACCGATTCACATCATCTAATGTAAGTAAATCTAGAAAACTAATAATTGTAAATCAAGTCAAGTGACTTGAGTAAAACTTATAAAAATCAAGTAAACGTGGATACAGTGAAATCAAATAATAAAGACGTGTGGCATAAAACCCTGTGACATGACTGGAAAATTTTTGTGCCCCTTTGTGGCAAGAAGCGCCCTTAGCATCTAAGTCCTGTATGAAAAGAAGACTTACGCTTCCATATGCGAGAGTAATCCCCGAGTATGTTTCAAGAAAGCTACAGCACCGGAAACTACACTTGCCGGTAACACACGGAACTGCTTAACCTCCGGAGGACAATCCACTGCTACACAAAAAGTACATCATAAGAGGCGCTGCGATGGCAGACTGGAGGGAGTCACCTCGGTGGAGGGGGGTCCCGCCAAGACGCCGGAGAACACGTCATGGCGAAACAATCACGCCAGTTGGGCTAACGCCGCTAAAGCAACAACACCGAGACGGACGACGCTCCTCGCGTGGACGTGCTGCCCTGAAGGACGAGATTCAACAAGCGCTTGGGATCACCGATTACGGCTGGCCGTACGAGACGGAAGCCAGGTTTTCCCTGAGGGTGAACGGCCATCTGACGTCCCTAAGACCACGCTGAAGGATCAGTAAGGAAATTAGCAGTATCAAACTTGCTCCTGGAAGTCCAGTCAACGGCGGTAAGCTCATACCTTGATATCTTCTACGGGCATAGGGCGATGCCGCGTAAAATAGCATATTTGTACAAATTGCTTGCTGGGGTCCTTTAGGCTGCCATTTTGTTTTCTCAAATCTCCATTTCGTACCCGGATCGAGTACGTTAAAGTCTCTATTATTTTATTGTATCTATTTTACATTATTAATAATCATTACACGAACACTACACCCTCTAAGAAGCATTGTATACATCTACTCACTTCAAGTCGTGGGAGGAGAATCCCACTTGATTGTACTAAGATTAATAACAAGTCAATTAACGTACTTATTTGTGGACACAATTCTCCTGGAGGGCACCTTTGCTCTCCCCTAGATTAGGTTTGCATGCAAATTTTCATGGTATAGGAGTCTCTAAAGACTCGAGTCGACTTCCGACACCAGAACAGAGGAACTCAACCTTCGAGTCAATCGTACACGCACGTCGGGTTGGCATCGGCGAGGTCCAACCACGTTGCATTTTTTAATAAACAAATTATTCTCTCGCCCTTTCCGCATCGTTCTCACGGCAAGCACGAGAATATTTAGAGAAAGGTAAAAGAGAAATGAAAAATATCATTACGTAAAGCAGTACCTCGCTTTCCATTTCAAAGTCACTCATAAAAATTTGCAGGGCTACATTCCTCCCAAGTACCCTGGTTAAACAAACCACCCCGAGATGAAACAGGTGAAAAAAAATCATCAAAACCTACCATAGTTTTCCATAGATCAACTTTCCCGTCAACAAAGATAGTTCCAGTTTCACACAATCTATTTCCCTTCAAACATCTATTTCTACATCTATTGCATATTATAATCATTATATCTACATATATTTTTAATTTTTTTCTTTTTTATCCCTCCTCATTCCCTTTTAACAAGAAAGTGAGCGAGAGAGAAAATTTCCTTCCTTGGCGCAAACGCCATTTTCCCGCCAGAAATATCTCAACCCTAAGGTATGTAGATTTTCAATATTCAAAGAGATTACTTCGACAAAAATCAGGACTAAATGCAACTTCATGGCATATTATTATCCTTAAAAAGTAGTATTCTACATAAGTAGTATAAGCTATTCATTCTGATATCAACATACTCCAAGAAGCTAACAATACTGCAATAATAGTCGACAAATTTGACTCAATGTGACATTTTAAATTAAATGTACACAGATTTTAAAGAATTAGATTCGACTGAATTTTACCAGAATCAATTGAATTAAATTCGATAGGGTCAAAGCTAAAACCTCCGATAATTTATTGAATGATTTTTATTACTTCATCGCTATTTGTTAAATTGAACATAAGTTTGTTTATCACAAAAAATTCACTTAATTCTAATTAAAGCTTCTTATCACAGGTAAAAAAAATAAATCGCTTCAGCCATACAAATAGACAATTTATGAATAGTATCATACTTATAATTAGTAAGATATAACTCATAACTAGTATGGATAATTTTTTCTGTTCTTTTTTTTCTTTGTGCCAGTGATTATTACTTAGGAAATGGAGGGAATGATAAATAAAGCCAAAAACACGCTAATTTGATCTCAGTACTTTGGAATACCTGGAAGTGGATGTTAGTTTCGATGTAAGCTCTAAGAACTGGTAATCCGACGAAAGTATGCTTAGAAGTAAATGTAACTGAGTGATGAATAGGATGAGTCCGTTTCTCAAAATTTCCAGTGACTCGGATAATAGGAGTTACATTGTAGTTGTAATATTGAGATAGTGCAAAACTTCGAGCAATCTCTATGTATGGCTGTCCGTTAAACCATAATTGTTGTATTTGTCCGGCAAAATTATGTACACTTCCACTGTTCTGACAATCACCACCAATGCAAAGAGTACGTAATTTCAAGAAGGCGTTGTTTATAGGCTGCATTTCAGCTGAAAAAAAAAGAGTTTCATTTACATACTCATTCACTGAATTGAGCATACATTTTAATAATACATATCTGTTGTTGTAAATACTGCATTTTATGAAGCATTTTAACAGTATAGGAACATATATTTCAAATAAGTTCGGTCAATATGCTTCAAATAGCGGCCTAATTTGGAAATCCAGTTTAGACCAATCTCAACTCTTTACTGTTTTTCAAGTAATTGATCGTAGCTTATTAACAAATGAATTTTTTTGAGTTTTTTTTTATTCCAAAGCTACGTTCATGCCAAATATGTAAACCAACTTGGCAATGATTAATTGTCATTCCTTTTTTAAATTAAAAAAACCTGCATTATAGCAAACTCTATCAAATTTGCCTAAAATTAAGATTTTATGAGTGTACTCTATATGCTCTAGAAAAAAACTGAAATTTATTATTCATTGGATATCAGTCAATGTTGGTCATTTGTACTGAGGGCAAATTTCAGTACGCATTTACAACTACATCGCAAAATAAATACATTTCAAAAACAACGCATCGAAAATAGAGATATAACCCAAGATCTTTTAAGTTACTAAAATGCTGTTTTATCAAAAATATCTCCCCTTTGGCAAATAAAAAATTATTAACGAACTTAGGTTCGTTCGACTAAACACTTCATTAAATCATTTTGGTGGATAAGGCACTTATAAGGGCACCTATATTAGCATAACACGCCGACTAATTAATGAGCAAAAAAAAAACAGATATACGTTCTATGCTACAAGCCATGTATATCACAATGCAGTGCTTGACGCTGTGGCTTAGCAACGGAACATAATAGCCATCACTTTTAGACGAGCTGATATTAAGCAATTTCCATTTGTAGACGTCATATGATAGGAAAGATCGTTATCCTACGATAATTACAACAATTAATGTTGTTGTTCTGACTTCGAGTCGGCCGGACGAGCAAACAAAAAAACTAGTGGACTGTAATAATTGAGAGCAGAATAAGAACAAAGGTTGGATGCCAGAAGGTTCCTTCCAAATGATTCACAAACACCAATTTGTCTAGGTTTTGATGGTTTTTATTCATCAATAACACTTAACATAATCAATAGAACTTAATAATCACTACATATAATTGAGTTGACTGTACAGTAATTGTTTGTACACGTATGAATTGTCTGATGGTTATTTTTTCACCAAAAAAAATAGTCTCAAAAAACAGTGAATAGCAACATTCACAGTATACACCAGAGTTGTTCGGGGGTGCGATGTATATGTGAATGTCCGTGAGGCACTATGGCGTCGACGCCAGTTCAGCTTCGCGCCCAAAGACACTACAACTGAATATACTGGACCACTGGCACTGATGAGAGTACTTTGATGATTCACGTATGTTCGTGAGAGTTGTCTGAGTCTATTTGACCGTACTTTTTTGTACAAAGAGTGAGCTGACTGCAAAAAACTGCGATTTGACTGCGAACGATTGTACAGAGATGACCGCGTGATTTGCCTGGAGCTAACTGACGCCACAAGTGCTCGACCGCGTGCTTGTTGGCGTCACTAGGGACGTAGAGTTGTCTTCTGGGCCATGAGGGAAATACTTCCCGATGATTGGTCCAGTGAGTTGACTGAAGCGCCGGTGGACAAGTCCGGCATTATGAAATTTTGATTATTCCTGACTACCTGATTTGGGCCCCTCCAAGTCAGAACAGTTGTACTTCCAATAATTTCAAGCTGCTCCAGTCAGACTTTTTGGCAGTAAAGAGTTCATCTCCCAATAAATTATTTTATGTAATGCCTTTCATAATGATGGACTGTTTATTATATTTATATCAATAAATTCACGAAAAAATCGTTATTTTACGATAATTAGTGAAATTGTTGCTGTACATTTCAATATATCAAGCTGTTACTTTTAGGCTCTTTGCCTGCAAAGAGTTTATGTTCCAACTCAGCGCTCAGCTATAAATTATTAAATGTTAAATCTACGATAAAAATGATAAATTTATTCTATTCTCATTAATTAATTTAGACAAAAAATCATAATTTAATGATAATTACAACAATTATTGTTTCATGTTTCAATACCTCGAGCATCTGCAGTCAGACTTTTTGCCTCTGAGGAGTTCATCTTTCAACTCAGCAATAAATTATTAAATATTGTATTTTTAATAATAAATGGATTATTTATTCAATTGTCTGTTATGTAATTTTGCTCTTTAAAGGTGTCAATATGTAAACCATATGCTTAACCTTAGAGACTTTAAGTTCCTCTTTTTAGTCCTAGCCTTTCGACCAATAGACAGGGAAGAGGGGATCTTCGATAGAGAAAGTAAAAATGTGTGATTTATATAAAAAACAATAACAAAATTTTATTGAATGAAAATTATTGAAAAATTATAACAACAATTTAAACGTTACCAACAGATGATTTCTTTTACTCTGGTCGAGATGAATTACAATTAATTGGTCCTCAGTCGATGTTCCAGTCAGCGCAATTATTCACTTTTTCTCGCGAATTAATTTAAATATCAATTTAAAAATAATTTGACGATCAAATAAACTTCATGCAAAAATTTACAAACTTTGAAGTATTATCAATACAATACTCAAGACTTATGATTTCAAGAGATGTTCCACGACGATCTGATCTCGATCTTACTTTTTCGACAACTGACTGATGCATCAAACCTTACGTATTTATTTAGTCGAATGTGACATAATTAGAAGTCCCTTGCTTCAGGCGCGCACAAGTCCCTTCGCAAATTACCATCAATGTTACTCTCTACCTTACGTATTTATTTAGTCGAATGTGACATAATTAGAAGTCCCTTGCTTCAGGCGCGCACAAGTCCCTTCGCATGGTCTTTTCCCTTTTTGGAAAAGCTTAACGCTCTTTTTACGTCACGTACTCTTTTTTTAGAGCTTTATGGCTTTTCGCCACGTGGGTTTTCCAAAAGCAATAAAATATCTAAAGAATGACTTCCTCAACTATTCTTCGAAATCCTTTCTATTTTAACGAAATCTTAGGAAAACTCAAAAAAATAACTTGAGTAATGATCGTTAACCTCAATCCTTAAGTTTATCGCTATTCATTTTTAGCTTTTCTTAAAATATATTTTAAATAATTATATGAAATAATTAAAAATACATTTAGACATTACACCCCCCGTGTTAGACGGAAGTGCGAGTGACAAAATTTGATCGAGTACGACGTTTTTCCTTTTTAAAATTAAACTTTTACAATAGGATTAGTAACACTCAATTCATACATGGTTAGTTATTTGAAATTACTCTCTAACTGTTGGTTGACAATGATAACCTATTTTATAACTGGTTTAAAACCCTTTCGAGAACCTTTTGGCAGCTCACTGGTGGTTCCCTTGTCATCCTTCTGCAAGTTAATTGAAGTTGAGTAGGCCAATTTTGCGGAAAGTTATTCACTTGACAAATACTCGAGTTGTTATTTCTGTTCTTTGATTTTCTATATCTGGATATAATGGAGAACTAGTTTCAGCTGTTGTAACATCTTCTCCACGTTCAACATTTATATCCGACATCCTTACATTTGGTGAAGAATATTTATCTGAATTATCTTTTGCTAAATGAACCAATAAATATGTTATTGAGTCCCAGAGGGCTCCTATTAATTTTAATGACCATCCGTACACGCTATGAAGTGTGTAACCATGTACAATGGTATCTATTATCAGTTTACATATTTTCAGAACCATAAACACGCCAATGAACCCTGCGCTGATAGTCCCAAATCTGACAAATCTTCCCCAGGTCTTCTCCCAGGCATTCTTAGCTAATTTTTCCAACGATTCTTCATCCAACATATTATAAATTGATGGCTTATTTGATATAGATCCTCTGGTTGCCTTTCCCGCAACTGTCTCTAATACTGCTGCTTGTTCCATGGTGAACATTATTCGATTCCTCATGGTTTCCAAATCCTCGGACGTATAAATTCCGCTACTCGCCAAATGAACGGGGTTTTTATATTCCCAAGTAATTTTCGAGTCTGGTTTTAGACTCATCGGCGGTGCTGTTTCGACAGGTTTTGGCATGAACTTATACCATGTCTGTCCAATTCTATAAAATTGTAATAATGGCGAATTGCAGGGAATTTGTGCTGCATGATTTGTGATTATATGAGTTTTTGGTGATAAGAAAAAACTTCGATTGTTTCTTAATATTGGTATTCTATTATAACAAATTTCTGTATGCTGAATCTTTACTTCAACTGGAACACATTGTACAATATGAATAACTTCTCCAGCCAAAATTGCCATCAATCCAGGTCCTTTCATGAATCTGTAGGCGAATTCATCGGGCTGAGTTGATGCAATAGCCAGGCTGTTCTGTAGAATCTCCTTCTCTAGCTTACACCTATGCATCATTACATCATGATATAATGTTTGGAGCTGACGTCTAATGTGTCTTTCAACATAAATAAATTTAGTATTAATATAAAGGAAAATGTCCATGTTATCAGTTGTTGTGTTGACTGCTTTAGTTGCTTCTACTTGACCGAGTGAAGTTCCAATAACTATGAAAAGTTTTGGATGCTCAGTCTTTAATAATTTGAGACCACATGAGTCTTCAGCTCCAATTACAGATAATGAGAATGTAGTATCTTTTGACTGAACTGTATAAATCGTTTCCTTTTTAGTTTCTAATCTTTGAGCTAATCCTCTATATAACGTTGAATATGTTGTCATAGAACAATATCTACGCGGTAATTGATCCCAGAAGGTATGTCCTCCTTCGGGATCTACACATATTCCCGAATTTAAATTACATTTAAAACCGGACGGCAAATAAATTTGATTGGAATCCGTTTTTACTCGGGCTATGGCCGATCGTAAACTAATACGAACAGTGCCCATTACTACTACAGAATTCCATGTACCGTATGGATCTGAGTACTGTGCACCTGAACAAGCTCCATTCTGAGTTGATGAGCCTGCTAAGGTGATGCTTCTAATTGTAGTCGTATTTAATAGT